AAGGTTTGTCTAAAGACTATTCCTGGGCTTGCACGAAGGTGTCATACACTGGCTAAACAAGGCACAGCAGTGTGTGGCTGTCAGAGCAGCGCATTAAAAGGCATTTGTCTTTCATGCTTCTTACTCATGTTAATACATGAATCTGACTTGACGAAAAATAAAAAATATTTTATTTGTAGTAAGCTAAAAATTATTTGGTTCTGGGGTTATAAAAAGTGTTGTTATAAGTTAAAAATGTGTACATGTAAGAGTAATTCCAGAATATTTACTAGTATCTTTCCTCTAAAAGTACTAGGAATGTTATGTGCATTATCCCATTTATAAAATAGCAATTGTATTTGTGATTTCAATGTGTAATTTCCCTATGCATGAATGGCATAATTAAGACATATATTCATTTGTAGCCAGGTGTGGCAGCAATTACCAATAATTCCAGCACTGTGGGAGGCTGAGGCAGGAAGATCACAAGTTTGAGCCCGTGCTAGGCAATTTAGCAACCCAGGGAGATTCTGTCTCAAAATAAAGTGAAAAAAGGTCTGAGGATCTAGATCACATACAGGTCCTGGTTCAATCACTAGTATTTCAAACATATATATATATAATAACATTTGTAATATATAACAATATATAATTATATATTGTATGTAATATAGTAATGATAAATAATATATATTAATATTTTATATAATTATGTATATTGTGTATAATAAAATTTGTAATTTTATTGCATATAGAAATGGCTTTCAGGACATGAGGCTGCTATGGTAGGAACATAGACAATGGTGTAGACTGCACTTCTTAATAGAGTTTCATTGATTCTGAGTAGTCACCAAAATATACAATAATTTGTTTTTATTATTGTGTTTTGTGAAAATGACAATAGGAAGAAAGTAAAATAGTCTATTTTGTAAAAGAAAAGTTGTCAAAGTTATAAAAGTTATTTTATAAAAAGCTGCAGTGCTTTTCAGCGATTCGAGACTTTGTCAGGGTCTTGGGGTCCGCTCTACTCTGCCTCATATTTTCACTGAGCGAGATCTGAGTCTACTCTAGCAAATAAAGAAAACGTCTTGTTCGAAAGTTGAAAGAATGGAAACACTGTTCTAGAAAATAATCTGTGGTCAGTACATTCCTCAGCATGGGTGTGAGGCCTGTCCTCAAAGGCTTAAACTGAGGGAAACTGCTAGAGGTGAGCCCTGGAGACCTTGGTTGACTTTGCTGCAGCAACAGGTGTGGATGTCACAGCAGGGATCTGAGAGTCATGTGTGTTCCCACGTCACTGCTGTGCAAGTGTGAGATACCCTTGTGGGCCCCTTCACAGAGTTGAAATGAACACATAAATATTATCTATGATCAAGCTAATAAGATCTCCTCCTTCTTGGCTGTGGGCTATTTTGCTACTCATTTTAGGAGACAATCAGATAACGCAATTATGCTTCCCCTTTGCCTTCACTAATCTCAGCTATAGAGAATCCCTTTCAAACTCATTTTTGAACTATGGTTTAGTACTCTTTACTCATTCAGCTGCATTCTCCCAAGTCAAATGTTAATTTAGAATCATGATTAACAGTTGTCATCTACAAACAAATCAGTTGGCCCCCTGACTTTTGAAAAGTCAACTGTATTATCTTACTTTTGAATTTCATCCCCACAAATGTATTTGATAGACAGGTGAAGCAAGTTGTGCGGTGATTATGCTGTGTAATCACGCATCACCCATGTTTTCCTTTCTCTTTTCTGTATGAATGTGTGGTAATAGATTCAGTATTAATGAGTTCCCCCCAAATCTCTGGGACAATCCACATAAAACAGAGATGGCAAGAACGGAATTTAAAAGGCTAGGGAGAGGATTCGCTGTCTCTTCTGGCTAGAAGATAATGCCAAGCTTTTGAAAATGCTCTACATGGAGGGAGATTCTGTATACAATGCTTTGTTAAATCTGTTCACAGGTCTTTAAGGAAAATGATCAGGGAAAATGATATCTGGTCCTTCATAATTGTGTCCTATTCCAGATAAAGCACTAAATTGACACTTTACAGACATGTCAAAGGTTTCATAATGTAAATGTTCTCTGAAATAAATACAAACATACTTGCTTAGTTTTGCCATATTATATACTAGCTAGTATATAATATGCACTGTTAGAAAAAAATATATGCATATATGCACTGTTAGAAAAAAATACTTCATCTTATTTTGACTTGAATTTTCAAAGGCATTTTTGTGGTTTACACAAAGTATACAATCATTATAGAACTTTTTACCAGTGCAGAGAAATACAATGAAAGAGCAGAAATCATCCATAATTCCACCTAACCAGTTACATATTCACCCCTACCACACACACATTTTAGTAACTGGTAGTTGAACAAAAAGGATTCATATAATGAACACGAAGTGATATTAATTTCTTTTCCACTGCCCTTTTAAATGTATTTTGATTCAAACATCTAGAGGAAAATGTGGGATATCCCATTACTCTTCTGATTATTGGTAATAACATGTGCTATAATCAATTTGATTCACCAGTCTTAGGTCATTAAGATGTCTCATCTTGTATTATTATCAAAATTCTATACTTGATTTAAAAAATCTTCATCCATTCCCCTCCACCTGTTTAGATCTGCTGTCGGGGAAGAGGTGTACTGTCTCATTTTTTGCCCCATGTACTAACTATGTCTCTCCCTCTCTGGTGTTAGAGAAAGCTTAAACAGTGCAGGCTCCACGGGTAGGATTTTTCTCACTTCATTGTTCTAATAAAGCTTCACATCTTCCAGGGCTCACAGATGTTAAAGCTGCCTTTGGGTCTCATGGTCATGGTAAGCTTACTGAAGCAGCTCATACTGTAGTTTCTTTGATCTGAAAACTAATTCTAATCTGGCTGTCATTGACTTTGAGAGCAACATCCTAAGTCATAACTCTCGTGCAGAAGGGAAAGCAAGTGACACTGCCTCTCTACCATGGAGCCTGTGTTTAGTCTGTGGGAAATACAAACACATTTTTTATTCCCAATACCAACATAAACACCCCTTTTTTGCTCATTTTATTAGTTAATATTTGAGCCTATCTATTACTTTTGGGTTTCTCTCTGAGTACGAGATTGGTGTACCATGTCCTCTACACCACGGGAGACAAACACTAAGTCCTCCATGTGGTTCCATGAAGTCCCCCTCAGCAGTAATAGATCTCTCCAGACATTCAGAAGGGGCTTAACAATATTCTAACCTATTTTTGGTTATTTCCTTTGACATAATGATGGTTGATAGATAATTTTGAAATATGTGTTCTTTATCTTGGACTATCAATTAAAATTCAAATTTAGCACCTCAATTATCTACTCTGATTTACTACAACAAAAATGATAATAATGATACACATATGCACTCACACACTCACACAAAGCCACATACCTTAAAGACTCAGGGTCTGGGAGTAGACTACTTGGGCTGCATTGTTTTCATTAACAAGGTCTTTGTCTTTGAGCCACCCGCATCTCTTTCTATCTTAGTTATCTCACCTTTAAGTTGAAGAAAATAATCTCTACCCCAAAATGTGGTTATCATCAACATTGATGGGACAATGTATAAGCAATGCTTGTTGCTGTAAAATACAATTGTGATTAGGATAATTATAAATGTTTTCTTTTAACTCATTTGTTTGGCTTAGGATTTCCATATTATTCTTTTAATGATCGTAGAGTACACATACAGCATATTTTCCATTACTGAATGGAATGTGCATGCATTGCCTAATATTTTGTCCCATCGTTGATCATCACTGTGTTCCCTGCTTTAATGCATTAATTGAACAGATTGCTGAGTCAAAATTTGATTACTTCGAAGCACGTACTACATATTGAAAATTTATACAGCAAAAATAGTATTAGTGTATTATATTTTTAAAACTATCAAAAATGTTTGACCCATTATCTGCTATTAGACACTCTCAAAATTAAGTTTGAGCACATCTTTGAGAAATAATGAAATAAATGTAAGGTGTTCTTTTCTTTCCTAATAAAGTATGTCAACAGATTTTTGGAAATATTTTTGGGACTGGGAATTAGCAAAGCTATTTTAAGATTAGGTGAGAAAAGATACAATTTACCTTCAGAAATAGGGAATCCAGTGACAGAACTACACTGACTGTTCTTTTTAAAAAGAAAAAAAAAAAATGAAGAATGAGCAGCAGCATCTGTCTATTGTGGTGGTTTATCATCAGATAGATAGATTGAGCTGCTTTAATTATGGAAATGCATCTAGTGGATGAGTGTTAATAAACTTCTATTTAAATAAAATAAATCAAAATTCTTGCTTCTCTTTAGCCTATTATATCTTAATTAAATTCTGAAGCACAGTAAGTAACTGCAGTGTTATATAGTTGGCAAAATCAATCACTAAGGAGTATAAATCAGCCAGCTCCTTGTCTTGCATAAAGCACATGCAGTTAATCAGTTTTGATGATAGAAGTTTCACACAGGTCATGAGCAAGTGGCATGCGGTTCTCATTTGTAGCATTTCAGATAGATGCTATTATGGAGAACATGCTAATTTTATTAAGGTCCCATGGTCTCACCAGTACCATGCTTAAGGTGTCACATGTCTTTTGTTTTTATTTTTGTTGTTTTGAGACAGGGTCTAGCTATGCAGTTCAGGCTGGCTTTGAGCTCACTTTGTAGCCCAACTGGTCTCGAACTTGCAAGGATTCTCCTGCCTCAGCCTCCCAAGTGCTGGGATTACAGGCGTAAGCCACCAAGCCCAAGGTGTCACATGTCTTAAGGAAGAAGAACATCAACATACTTTTCTTAAAGATCATACATTATACTATTCAGTTTTTGAAAAAAAATAATCTTTCTGTGAAACTCATGTTTTCCCTTCCCTTTCTCTCTCTGTCTCTCTCTCTCACACACACACACAAACACACATACACACACAGTCCATACTCAAAAAAGCATATAAGTCCAACAAAATGGAGAAAATCATTCACCCTGATAGCATTAGACCAACCTTATAAAGTAGTGGTAATTTTCCTAATTTCAGGAGTGCAATGTGATTTGTTATATTTTTCATTTTTTTAATCCTTTTTAAATCATCTGCAGTTCCATAGCTCACGTCTATGACTTCAGCCTGAAAAAGAATAAAACACAAAAACAAAGTCTTAGAAGAAAAAATTAAAGTCAACTATGAATTTTATATGACAAAAATTATTTTTAAGAATTGAATTCTTCAAAAGAGAGCTAATTCTAATTTTACCCTGTCCCATTCATGATAAACAAGACTTTTCTATTCCTCTCAAGGTATAGCAATTCTTCTGTTCACTTAGAAAAACGTGTTCATCATTTTTAGTTTGCCCTTCACCTCCTAAACAAATCACAAACCTAAGTGACCATAAATTTTCATTGCTTTTTTATTCAAGATTCCAGAATTTGAGTTATTTTATGAACCACAGAAAGATTATTTTTTTTTCAAATTCAACAACAATCATATTATTCTCAGGCTAGGGAAGAATCCTATGACTCTTCATTATTTCATTTTTCAAAGCTGTTCAAAGTATCCTCATGGCCAGCTGTAAATGAAAACCCCTTGGGTTGTGTAAGATACAAAGGGAGCAACCAGACAAACAATCTGGCATTCTAAGACTTTAAAGTCCCGAATTACCATGTCAGTCATAATTTCTACTACTCCCTACCTATAGTTGTTTTGTATTCTACATCAATATTACTGATTTTTAAAATTCTTCTTTGGCTAATATAAGAAGTATATGACTTTCTGTATATTCTAGTAGTAGTCCTCTGGCGTAGTTATCTCTTTTTTCCTCCTTGATAAATGCTGGACCGCAGGCTCCATCAAACACATACTTCTATCAGCTAAGATGATTGCTTTCAGTTATATGTTCAGTGGTTTCTGCTGTTAGAGTATCAGCTGTCACTCATGCCAATGACTGTAATGCAGAGTATGCTGCTTGACATTATAGTACGTGTCTGAACATGTCAAGGAAAGGAATTAGTGGGGGCAAAGGGTTACAGAAATGAAGACAGAAAAGCCAGACCTCTAAATTTTCATCCCTTTCAACCAGTTTGATGCAAAGGGAGTTTGTGGAAGGTTCATTTGAAGGAATGATTCATTTCTAGAAGAACATGTGAATACCACTGAGAGATCTGTAAATCTCTCCATTGGTGAAAATATTTCTAGAGTGAAATATTTCTTTCTTTAGCCATTATATTCATCTGTATCTGCAAAAAACCTCTAGGAAAAGATTAAGTCCCATTTTAAATTTTATCTATCTGATGAACTTTATTTTTGAGTTGTCCGAAAAAAATACCACCTCTCTTATTGTGAATCATAGTCAATTCTCTTCTCTCTTAAGGCTTTCACTGGACTGGGTCCTGTATGTATACAGATGCTAATTTCATTTCCCAACACAGGAAAATTTCTCAGGGAGGGGTCGTTATACATTCAGGCTTATATAGGTACCTGCAATACATAGTTGGATTATGGCTCTTGAATTAAAATGCTTATAAGCGTATGAAATGTCTTTGAAAAGTTAAGTTAAATACTTTCAAGCAGATTTTCTTTAAAAAGCCCTAATTTTTAAAAATGCTCCTGTCAGAATAGCTTCTCATTATAATTTTCTTCCTATTAAACTATGATTAAATCAGTGCCTTTAATGCAATTTCTTAGTTTGCTGATGCCATTACCATATAAATAACTGTTGATCTATGATGGTAATAGTCTGATTAAATAAACGATCCCCTAATATTAATGATTGCTTTGCAAAAATGAAAGAATTCATATTTTTCACTTGAAACTTCTAAACTACATACTAATTATTTGTGATTCAATGACAGCATCTTAAAACAGGGCTATTACTCAATTGGTTGCATTAATGAACATATTTTTCATATTTAAAGAGGTGGAGGAAAACTTTGCTGATTTGAGAGGAGAGAGGCCAGACTGGGCCTTTTCATTCCATACATATATATCAGAAATGTACAGTGACTACAAAATATTAGTTCTGCAAAAGCATTTGTATTATTGGAAGGTGTCAATAATTTTAGTCAACAATGGCAATTTTATTGAAAGAGCTCTCCAACTTGTCTTTTATAGCATGGGTCAGTAGATCGCAGCACTCTACTATGTAAAAGATTTTCTTTTCCACAAAAATATTTCTCAATGTAGACATTGTTACAAAAATCTACTTTGGCTTATGCATTCTGTGACTATGCCTTAAAAATTGATAATTACACAAGTCTTAATGGTCTGAAGTTTGACAGATGGTAATAAAACTGTATCCATTGCCATCAGAGCATGCCTCTTAACCAGGTTCCTTCTGAAGCATGTTCCCATGTACCTTCAATCAAACTGAAAATGAGAACTGCACAAACTCCACAAAGCACATCGAATTTTCTGAGGCACAAATCTATATACAATATGATAAAATGCCAAGCCATTTCTTTCCACATATTCTCATTGCTACAAAAAAACCCTCTGCTTGTTGCATTTTTCTACTAGAAAAATCATTTACTCAATCTGTTGGGGTACTGTGTTGGTTTGGGGGTTTACTGTAAGGTAAACAATATAATAGAGGACATATATTTTATAAGATTATTTATAATAGTCACCCAAAGAATGATATATAAGAGAGGGCAGGAAATCTGTCCACACACTAAAGACCAAAGAATCTTGACCAGCTGAGGGCTGGAATCCCACGATAATGTCCTGCATGCATTCAGCTGAAGACCTAGAGCTCATCACAATGTCTCCCACGAGTCCAACTGGAGGCCTAGAGCCCATAACAATATTTGATGCAGGCCTGTTTCATGATCTGTGCTGGGAAGGCCCAAAGTTCAGTGGTGGAATCTAGAAAGTCTGTTCCAGCAGGACAAAGGATCTGGGCTAGCAGGTTGAGGGATCTACACTGGAGCCAGGAAGCAATGCTCAAAATAAGAACCAAAGTTCCCCCCAAAAGTACCTCAGCCATCCTCAGTAACATTGAGGACCTGAGCTCCTCCAGTGATGAAGACAGCTGAGTTCCCATCAGGGAAGTCAACACAGCAAGCTTCTCCGGGAGACTGGCAGTGCACCATCTTCCCCACTGGAGCCAGGAAGCGATGCTCAAAGTGAGGACCAGAGTTCCCCCAAAGCAAACCAAAGCTATTCTCAATTCCAATAAGGTCTAGAGCTCCTCAGATGATGAAAACTGCCAAGTTCATCAGGAAAGCCAGCATGACAAGCTCTTCCAAGAGAACCAACAGCTCCTTATAGCTTCTCTGAGCTTCCAACACGCTTCCAACAGCTTGTACCAGCTCCCAACAGCCTTACTTCTTCTTCTCCAGTTCTGCCTCTACTCTGCTGGCAACAATCCTCAGGTGGGCCTCCCACTTCCAGCACCACGCTTAGTCAGCTCAGCTGGGTGCTATAAGTTGACTACCAGTTGTCAATCCATTACAGGTACTGTATTCCATTTTTCCAAATACCATTGATGAAGTTACACCTTACAGGTCTCTACTATAGCCAGGACACTAAGTGTCCACTGAGGTCATCACTCTGTGTGCACCACAGGCTTTCTAGTGGGGACTTCCTGACAGCAAAGGGTAACTGAGATGCAGAGGAAAATGGAACTTCATTCTTCTTGCTTTCAAGTGTTTTCATTAGGAAAAGTCTACACACTAATTTTTAATTTAAATTCTATACATTAAGTTTTGAACTAGAAGCTAGGCATGTCAAAACACAGCAATAATTGAAAAGGAAAAAATATTTTATTCCATAGAAAAATAAATTAAGGTACTGGGATGAAACCAGGGCACAGTAGGCCACATAGATAAGAGAAAGACTAGTGCACTTTGAAAGATTAATGTTCAAATACAGTTGCCCTCAGTCTGTGGTAAAAAGTTAATAGAAGGAATTGACACAGCCTTAACATAGACAGGGACCACCACAGGGATGGAAACATGCAAAATTCTGGGTCTTTACCATTCATTAAAAAGCATTTGTGTTTTCTTCTGAGACAGGAACTTAAAACCATTTATCTATCAACTATAACTTTATTTGGACCTACAGATATCCAATACTGACAACCAATAGCAGAACAAATCTTGATCTCCATTGTATATATCTTTTGTTATTGTCATTCTTGGGTCAAACCACTTCTCTGCTGTACATAGGACTGTGTTGATCATTTAGAGTGTCTCGGTAGGACCTGGCTCCACACCAGTTTACCCTTGGTTTTACAGGATCTCATTTCTTTCAGGCTGAGGACACCAAGATAAAGGAGTTACAGAAATGTTCAGCTATACTCAGAGGCCTCCAGCCATTGTTGTCCTAACCTGTGATCATATGGAAACTACACGATGAAGAGCAACACGAAGAGAGACAACCTTTTCCTGGAAATGAAATCATCCCTCAGCCACAAAGGTTACAGAATTATGACACCAAGAATGACATAATGAGGAGCCAGACCACAGCCCTCACTCATCCTGAACAGCATCCTTCCATCTTTGCTGGTGGGCCAGTCTGACCACCTGTGTAAGAGTGTCCCCCTTCCACATACCTAACCCGGATTCCTTTTCTATCTTCCCGCTAACTTTCCAAGTGAAGCTTTTTTTTTTTTTATTCCTGTAGATTTGTGCTCTAGTTTTAATTCCAATTATTACTAAAGTAAGAGTTCATGCTATCCGGTGACAGAGTAATCAACCAGACAAGACAATTAACAAAGACTAATAACCAAAACATTAAAAATGACATTCTATACATCAGTGGCTCTACGGTTTTTAACTTAAATGCCATAAACCATAGAAACTGTTAAGTAAAAACTGTGGACACAGGCTAGCTAACATAGTTGTACTACTGATTTCTATTACTTTATTGAAAGGAACAGTTAATGTTTAATTGTTTGATCAATCTCACATGCCTATATTTATTTATCTCAGTAACCAATTTGAAGTATCAATATGTAATGCAACCACCATTGTTAATTTCCTATCACCTTGTCTGAAATTCTGTGTTGCTTGTATTCTTTTTGTGTTATTTTGTAAATGTCTATGCATTTCTTAGTGTTTTCATTGTTTTATCTTTAAAATAAAAGAATTAAAGAATAAAAAGTAAATAAATAAAAACCATGGAAATCA